TTATTATTATTATTATTATTATTATTATTATTATTATTATTCATAGTACTATTAGTTAAAGTAGTATTTATTACATTATTTTCATATAATAAATGTTGGGTGTTGATGAACAATCTGAAACTCCATGAAGGGGTTGATGAGCTGAAGAGTTTGCAGAGCTCTTGATTTATATGCTGGTCCTGTTCTGACAATACCCTTAACCAGGCCAATGGGAAGATACTATAACATAGGTACTGGAAAATTATGGTGGCTAATTTCCAGTTTAATTTGCACCCAGCATGATCCCAGTCAATGCTCCCAGTCAATTCTTATGTCCTGGTCGGAACAAGCACACAGGCCATTCAGTTCAGCTAGCAAAAAATACAGCTTGATGTTTTATATATAAAACATCAGCAAACATTAGAAACAGTTAATTGGCAAAACAGGACAAAAGGCAGGGGAAAGCAGGAAAAGAGAGACATGAACAGGCAACATTTTACATTATCTAAAATAACTATAACAAAAAGCACAGAACTTTCCAGAGGTACTGGAAATAATACTGTGGTAATTAGCACAGACGATCCCAAAGGAAGTGGCATTTGGTTATTTCAGCTTTAACCCTTTTATGTACATAGCAGTAGCAAAATAGAGATGCAAAGTAGGATATCAGATGATCCCTCTTTGCACTATTTGTTGGATGGGAATGATGTATCCAAAAATGGAAATACAAAAAAGGGCCAGTTGATTTATAAAGTAGCTCTCCGTAGGTTAAATTTAATCCTAAACCTAAACCTGCATTGGGTTAAAGTAACTCTACCCAGTCAGCTGTTTGATTATGGAGTCCTAGAGAGGCTTTGCAAAAATGGGGCCTCTAGACACTCCACCTCTATGGTTGTTATGGTTTTTTGCACACACATGTGTGCACACACACACCAGCTACATGGAGAGGGGATACAAACAGAAATGGATGGGAGATTATGAGTTCCCCCCCAAAGCTGTCTGCAGTGACAACATACCTGATTTTATGACACTACAGATTTTTTTTCTTTTTTCTTTACTCTGGCTGGAAGGATAAAAAGAGAAAAGATAGCCATGAAAGAATAGCCTTTTTTGCATTGGCTGGAAGGATACTAAAATTCCTGTTACAACTGAGACTCAGCCAATCTTGATTGTGCTGCTAGTCCACAATCGTGAAACTGCTAACTGCAAAAGGGGGAAATGAGTTCATTTGTGCATGCTGAGTAAAGTGATAGATAATTGATATCCAGGCAAGATTTCCCCACATTTTATCTTGCATTCCTGGCACCTCCTCCTTTCCAAGATGGTTCATCTTTCTCTATCTTAGGGATGCAGAAAGGTGCACTCCAGTGGCTAGATGTGGCTACCTCAGCATCTCCTTTGGGTCCACTAAAGCTCATTGACAGTTGATTGGGACAAAGATTGGAACTTTTCTTCTTTAATGCAGGGATTAGGGTCTAAAGAAGGAAAATGGGTGCCTTTCCTAAAGATGTGGAAGGCACCCACTTATTTTCTTAAGCTGCTGAAACAAGGCGTTTGGCCCTGCCCATTTTTGGAGTGAACCCTGTTAGCAAAGCATAATATACACTTCAAGCTGGCAAAACCTCTACACTCTGCTCTACAATTACATTTCGCTGGGTTATGTGTCAGGACTCAACTGATTAAGTATTAATTGGATTCACACAGCACACTGTACTGTAATATGGCTTGTTTTGCTTTTAGCTTATGATGCTATATGAACCAGTAATTAAAACTTGAAAGCATGCTCTGTGCTTCTGAGCCATTGTGACTTTTTAACAAACTATGGTTCAAACAAACTATGACCCAGACATAATCAAATACTAATATTAAAGCTATACTCTGTGATACATGTATTTTTGGTTTGCTACCACCGTTTACAATCACTTTGTATATTGTATACCCTTTTCAAGAGAAATTATATAATTCCCTTCTTCTTCACCTGTGTAGCTATGTGAAGACATAGAAAGGTGAGGCTTTCAGTCAAACTATTCAGACATTTGTTTTCAGTAAAACATTAAGGCAAATGATTAAAAGTGAGATGTGGGACTGATTTCTGTAAAAAACTTTCCTTGCTTGTTTTGTTACAGCATGAATATTTAAAATATTGTCCGGTCTTCAGACAAAGATCTGTTATAAAGCTTACATCTGCTCTACTGTTTCACCAAAGCTTTTATACTAGTTTTAAAATACGTTTTGCTTTTATTTTGATTAGTAGGTAACAATCCCACCTTACTTCTGGTCTCTCTTACTTTCTCTGTCTAAGGATTCTAGTCAGGTTTTACACAGAGGGAATTTTCCTCTGTCCTCCATCCCAAACTCTATCTTTGCAACTTCATTCTGCAGCTTGTGGGACTTAGGGATTTTTCATAACAGCTTAGACAAGACAGAATTTCATTTCAACAAGGATAGCTGTTGATAGTGATAATTGCAGCTAAAGTAATCCATATAATAAAAGGAATATCTGATAAATGTTGCAAATATTTTACAACAATTCAGTAGTCATGTTGGCCTGAATTTAGAGAAATTGAAGTCCAACATCTAGAAAATACTGGATCAGGGAGGGACTATATACCATCCCACAACCTCTCTTCTTCTCCCTTTTGCTTCTGTTTGTTCACAAGTGACAGCTCTGGATATTCTTCACAATCTCCCTTTAAGAATTACCACCTCAGATGTTAACATGTAGGTCATGTGATTAATTGTAAATTCTAATGTATACCAAGAATATCTTTAGAAGACGTTTTAAACCTCTTTATGCATTGGGTCATCATCTTCTTACACTGAATGCTTATTCAGTTCTGTACAGTATCTAATTTACAGTCCTGTCATCGTTCTATAAAGACCCAAACATTTTGGGGCCAGATTATCTGAATGACTATACTAGTTTTACAATTCTGTCCAGGCTTTTCGATCAATTTCTACGGCCCTGTTCTTCTGCTTGTTCATAAGGAGTTACACAGATATGTAGGAAGAAGCTTTTGTTGGTGGACAACTACTTTTCCCCCCCAAAATACAAATGGCTCCATATTTGGAAAAATTTAGGAACAAATTCTTTTTTTTAATTTCAGTCCAGTTTACACTGATTGCAGGGATTAATACATTCTTAGCTGGTACTTTTTGCTTTTAATTGGGTGGTTTTATGGTTGTTTACAGTTTTAAGGGAATTTTGTATGCTGCCTTAATAAAGGTGATTATATATCACCAAATAAATACATGGAATAAATTAAACCTTGGGACTAATATTTTGTCTGTTGGTGAAGTGCCCCTTAAATTATGCAATTCTGTATTGTTATAGCCATGGCATTAATACATTTCAGGCTTTCCAAAATGCCAAGTGAAAATTTTTGTAAATGGAGGAATAACCCCATCTATGACAAATAATGGATTTCCTTTTTATATAACTTCCTAATAATTTTTTTTAAAAAAGACATCTGCTAAAATTTAGATTGTTTTAAAATTAAATTCAGAAGCCAAGGGTAATATCACAGGACATGGCTGGGTAGGCACTAGCATAATGATTTTTGAATATAATCCTTTGTTACTAGATCTCAAACAACAAAGATGAATCTAGAAGATAAGTATGTTAAGGTCTTTTCAAATGTTGTTGGAGAACAACTCTTTATTACACCTGACTGTTGGCTACGATGGCTGCAGTTGATGGGATCTTAGCTACTCCAATACCAACCAAAGGGTAACAGGTATGTTCACTATCCCTAATGAAGAGAGATTTTTTTAAAAAAGAAAAGAAAATCATTCTGGTGTGGCTTGAGAACAAGCTTCTGCCTAATGTCATTGAGGGATGATGGGAATTGTAGACCACCATACCTCATAGTCACCTAATTGCCAAAAGCTGGTTTTAGGGTAAGAGGATTCCTGTTGGTTCTCTCTCATCCACCATTCTGGTCCACAGTGATCAACTGGATATGCACTAGTCACTCTTAATCAGGGATTAAAAACAGTAGTACTTTCTCAATTTTGTTCTCCAGCAACAACAGGTATATCGCTTCTGATATTGAAGTAATATATAGCCCTAATGTCTAGAAGCTATTGCTAGTAATGTCCTCCAAAATAAAATAAAGTATTGGAACATAGTCATCAAAGTTCAGTTTTGAATAATATCTTATATTGAGTGTTGATGTAATTTTGAGATTATTTCAATCTAATATCAGGAATATTTATTTTTAAGAGAGAACAGTGAATGATTTTTCAAACGGTTGGAGTCCTTGGTACGGTGCTTCAAACTGCCTAGTATTAACTTGTATGGACTAAACATGATAAAGATAAGCACTTTTTAGTGCTACTGATTTTAAGTATGAGAAGTAACAATGGGCAAATTTTGGGAATTGCAGTGTGGCTTTATGAGAGACAGTGGTTATGTATATCAGATTTTGCTCTTCAGCAGGTCATTGAGAAATATATGAATGTGAGAAAGAAAGTTATTGTTGGTTTTGAATAAGTGTATGATAAAGTAAAAGGGCATGAATTGTAGAGTTGTAGGTTGGTCATTGAATTGGATAAGAGTTTGCATATGGTAGAAGTAAATCATATACAAGATTGAACATGGAGGAAAACAAGGATATATGATGTTCTCTTGGTTCTTTAATATATTTATGGATAAATGTATAAGGAATGCTTGTGATGATATCAGAGGTATGTTTCTGGGGACAAATATACATGTACTTTAGTGTACATATGTCATATTGTTGATTGAAAACCCAAATGATTTGTAGAGAATGTTTGAATGATGAAATAAGGAGTATGGATCTGAAAATAATATATCAAAGGCTGAGACGGTTGTGTTTGACAGGAATGAAGATTTGCAAATTATACATAAATAATGAAAAATTAGAGCAGGTAGATGAATTCATATACTGGTAGAATATTACTAAAGATGAGGAAATAGTTTATGGAGAAACTTTAAGATATACAAATGCTGGTATAAAGATAGGGTATTGGTTTGTTGGGAGGAGTGAATGTTTGTTGAAAAAAGTAGGAACAGCTATGTGTAGGAGTACCTCCTGCCCATAGGGAAGTGAGGGTTGGATACATCAGGAGAAACATAAAAGTGCTAATACTGGTTTCCTGGTGCAACTTCAAGAAAGTGTAAGATGTATTCTGCAGTGTTTGACAGGCACCCCTGACATTGGATGAGAGATAATTATACAATTCAATTTCCTTTGAAATTCTGTTGGTTGATTATAAAGGAATATTCTGAAGGTAGAAATATTCCTTTACTACAAGAGTTCATTATTTTTATGGAGGCTGAGGGCCAAATTTGGTCTTGAATGGCATGCTGAGAGCCACATTCCAAAAAGTATACAGGACCAGATTAAAATAATTTTTGTTCTAATTGCAAGACATTCATAAAAACACCCTTCTGTGTTTAATCATTTTCCTCTTGGTTCACATTACAGATTATACATTTGTTGGCAGCTTTAGTGGAGCACCAAATCTCAAAGTTTCAAAGGACTACAATCAAAGCTTTCCAGGTTGTATGTGGCTCTGGGATCTCCAACTGGACATTCCTGCCCTGAATAACAGAGCTCCTATGCAGCTCACGCACTTGACGCTTTCCTCTTTATTCATGTTATTGGGGTATAAAAGTACAAGAAGTAAACAAACTGTAGCCACACTGGGAGAAGGAAAGAGAGGTAGAGAAAAAAGTTAGATTGCATATCTGTGGTTCCTTATGAGCTACCAGCATTGCGTGAAATATAAAGGCATTATTTGGACGCAGGGAGCTCTTTATGTTGAAATTATGCCTGTGCAGGAGATATTTCTAGGAAATTGGCCTGACCTAAACACTTGGATATAGATATGGTAACAATAAACAGTCCTAAGAGTCCAATTTTGTTTAATCTCTCTCTCTTCTTCCCCCTGCTTCCCTTCCCCGCTTTTTAAAGGTAAAAATGCAAAGAATTTTTCAAGTCCTGGAGGAAGATTTGAACACTTGCACTCATCTGGTTGACTCTTCTGACAGTTACACTGTCTTGAAACATGGGAATGGTAGCTTTAATAAAAATTATATATAGGCCCTATCTTTTGAATCAGAAGAACCCTTTAAAGTATTATATTGGTGTTCATAGTACTAGACTTCATAGTAAGCAAAGGAAGAAATTTACTGTGCAGGAAGCAATTTAGATCAGTACAATAAACCTTAATTAATCTAATAGATTAAATTAGATTCTAAATTCCTCTAGGCAGAAGTATTTTTGTAGACTGTATATTAATGAGGTTCTCAATTTTTGTGAACACCAATCCTTCTATAGGCAAGAATGGCACCATCCTTTTAGATACATGATTGCACTTAAATGGCTCAGACCAAGATACTGAAGAACCTGCTTCTCCCAAATAGAGAGTTAACATATGATGGCTGTAAATATATAGATGACAGCTTGGAGACTTAGGGTTTTCTGTACCTCTTCGCTGCCATCTAGTACTCTACAACATTTTTGCAGTTGTAGAACTATACTGTAACTCATGCAGCTTATCCACAAACAGACATATAAGCTGTTTACTATACTCTAATGGTCTGTTCAGACTTTTGCAGCCTAGCTGTGGCAGCCCAACTGAGAACAACCATTTCAGATGTTAGGTTCCTGAGCCTAAGCTGGAGCTGATATAGAAGAGAGCCTTTTCCGTTAGTGCTTTGAAACCTCCCTAAAGAAATTAATGTCCTTGTGAGATCAGATAAGAAATTTCCAATTCAGGTCACCTTTATCTGGCAGAATTCATTCATTGATCCTTATGATTTCATTGTTATAATTACCTGGCTGTCAAGTAAGCTTTACTTTGTATAGTATTAAGACTTTTTCAGTAGCTTTTCTTTATGTGAAATTTACAATTTATATAAGCAGTTTCCAATGTTTCCATTTATGTAACACTGCATTGTTACAGAAAGATGAGAACATGGTATCACCAAAGGGCAGCAATGGGGTGCCGATGGGGCCTACAGGAACCCAACAGTTAAAATTACTGGTTTCTTGAACCATCAATGTCTTGTGATATCAACATCTAACAAGATTTCATGATCCCGTGGGACTTTGGTCATTAAAAAATTATATTTTTATTGTGGTTCCCATCCAATAGCCTATAGGGTACACCTTTAGGGTACAAATAGTGGCTCCTACATCACAAGTTGGAAAGTGTTAATCTGTATAAGTGGAAAGATGGGCATAAAGAGATTAAATACATATTAATGCCTATTTAACAGCGCAATTGTGTAATCCCTCAGTTTAACAGTGCAATTGTGTAAACATTTATTCAGAAATCCTGCTGAGTTAAACATGGTGTACATCTAGAAAGCGGGAGAACCTTCCAGAACAGATTTGGTTATGTATGTAGGGGAAAAGAAATCTCATTGTTCAAGTGGAAGATTCCTCTTATGATGACCATGCTAGTCTGCCACCTCCCTTATATTAACCCAGTTCCAAAGAGAGAGTTATCAGTTTTCATCCAAATGAAAGCAATTAAGAAAAAAGAAATTCATATGGGAAAATTAAACTGGTTGATTTCAAAATTGGTTCTTTAACAGTGATGTGTATGAGTTTTAAAAAAAATATTTATATCTATTAATATTACAATGTCAGATCTATCATAAATTTTCTTTATGTATATACATGAAAACACATCAAGAAATATTTCCTCTCTGCTCTAAATTTTGAAGGCTAAGAAGAAAAAAAATCCATTTTCTTTCCTGCATTTCCCTCAAGATCCAAGATTTGATCAGACAAAATATTTAATATTTATCATTAGGTCCAACTCTGTTGTATTTAATTGTGCTTTTCTTTAAATTTGTTGAGGATATTTATATATAAAGTTGGTATAAGGACAGTATGCTTTAAAATAAATGCACCATGTAATTTTCCTGTACCTTTCTAGTGAATTGCTTAATTTATATTAGTTATCTAGTCCTGTCTGTTGCTCTCAGCTGTCACCTAAATTGATTTAGAAAAATAATCCATCTAGATTATCTGAAAAGTCTATAGATGTCCAGATTTAAACTGAAAAGGTAAGGGTTTTCCTTTTAGTTTGAAAGATATTTGGTACAAAATGTGATCATAGGTACCAGAATATTAATACTCCCACTCCCCCAAGATTCAAATTGTTCTACAAAGGGACCATAACATTGTACACAGATGGTTCAGTCCCCCTCCAAATAAGGCTGAAAAAACAGTGTAATTTTCTACACTCTTTCTTTCTACACTTTTCAGTACTTAACAATGATCTTATTCAATATAAGGTGACTTGATTAAATTCCAAGTCAACTATTATATTAACTTGTCCTTTCAATTCAGGGTCAACCATCGGCAAGACAGTTTTGCAGATCTGGGCTGCAAAAATCTAGGCAAACTATGAGAGAGCAAAAGAGCTAGAATTTCCAGTTGTATATAATTTTTATTAAGGATTTTGATTACAATAGTAAAAACTAATACAAACTAAACTTAAAGAAAGAAAAAATGAAGAATAAAAAGTGCAATAAAAAAAGAAAAAGAAAAGAAATATATAAAGAAGTGTCTTCCAATCTTCATTACAAGAAGTATGGATTAATTTAGTAACTCTTCCCCCCGCCCCCCAAGGTTACAAACAGATATCTCTTCATCCCATATCCCATCCTTTATCTACTGTATAAGCAAATCCATAAAACATCAACTTTTCAATGCTGGTGTCAGCTAGAGTCTCCTGAAGGCTTTTGGCAGCCAAATATCCTACATGGGGAAAAATCTGCATTTGATGTAGACAAAGTCTGTAATAGGCTTTGTTTCCAAAATACATATTACCTTACAAAGATTATTCTCTTGCAAAGTGCTGGACTTGCTTCCAATTTATTAGAAGTGGTATTTGATATTACATGGGAAGATGGCTCACACACTTCTTTCCCTTTCTCTGGAAAGTTTGTTTTTGTTCTCTTTATTAGTGTTTCATTAATGTGAACTGTCATAGAAACAATCGAGTTTGGGCTTTATTAAGGAGTGTTTCCCAGCCCATACAGAGAAAGGCAAAAGAAGAGCAAGCTAATCTTAGCTATCTTTAAAAGGACTATAAATTTATTTAAAACCTCAGGGTGCTGGGATATAATTGGTCACATAAATCAGTGCAGCTGTTAAAGCAAATGAAACCACCCTGATTAAAACCAATGCAAGTTCTACTTCCGAGGAGTAGGCAATTCACGTCCTTTTGCAACAACTTGTTTCCTTGCTTTCTAACTGCACAAGAAGCAGTTACTTTTCACTAATGAGGATGTTCCTCTTGGAGAAAATTCTGATTGCGTTTCTAAAAAAAATACTATTTTTTTTGCAAAGCCTCATTTTAAATCCTTTCCTGTCGACATTGACTATCCATTTTGCTTTAAAGCTTCTGCTTATGTTGTGATATTAGACTTGGTATAACAAAGCAATAAATGTCTTTCTTCATATCTTTTCTCCTTAATGTGTCTGCAAATTTCTAGCCAAGGGTAATAGGTAATAACAACCTACAGAGCTTGCATGGAATAGCATTTACTGAAAATAAACTAAAACAGGAACAAAGACAAAGTACAGTATACTGGCTTTCGCTGGATTACACCCAATATGTATATCATACTGGACTGCAACAATAAAATCAATGGCTGCTCAGATCAGGCATGTGTAAAGATGTCTTTTCACTTGTACCTGCACTGTCTCTGAGGAAGCTTAGATGATGCAGATGGTGACCTTCCGCAGAGAGATTGTAAACACAGACTGAGTGGGCCAGCCCAAGGTCATGTATTAATAGCCCTATCATGGATGCAGCAACATCTGCAGCAGGGCCAATGCATGTACAAAAGCAGCAGGGCTCCAGTTGTACTGCTGCAACTGGAATAGTGGCTTTCCCCCCTAATCCCCTGCAGTTGCTGTTGCAGAGATTGGATAGTCTGAGCACAATTTAGAGAAAACGTGTTCTTTTCAACTTCACTCAGTTTAATGGGAAAAAGAGTAAACTGTTTCATTAAAATCAAGGGAGAAGTATATGGCTTAATACTAGAGAGTATATTTATTTATAACAACATTTATTCACTTGTATACTTGTTCAGTCTAAAGAGATATTAAGCAGTATACACAAGCAACAGGAACGAGACTAGTGCAGCATAAACACTAATACATTTTACAATTAAAAACATTAATATAGGTTAACAAAATCTAAGTTTGGTGCTATAACAGAATCAGGCTTGTGCCCTGTTATAAAATAATGACTTACAGATGTGTTAGCTCTTGCCTAATATCATCTTACTCCACTTTTCATATCCTTTAAATAGCCTCAAATCAAGAGGCACTTTTATGCTTCTGGAGCACCACCCTGCATTAGATCTTCCAAAGAGTTTTTAAAAGCACATAAAAGTGGAAGAAAAACTTTTTTTAAGACTTCTGAGATTTGTAGACTAGGTATAATTCTACATTCCAAGTTTTTAATTTGTCCCAGCATTCAAAATTGGGCATATATCAACATTCATGGATATATAGTTGCATTAGGGCAAATTGCCTTACGAAAAACTGAATACGCTTGACAGAAGTTTCAGAAAGTAGAGAGATTATGGTTCAGAGGATAGAGTCAGTCAACAGTTAAAACACTTGTACACTTAACAGGTTTTGGATGAACACTGTAAGAACAGGACAGCAAATGACAATTCTGGAATTTCCTACAAACATCTACCTCCTTGTTCAAATGCCATCTGAACTGTGGTTTATAAAATCTGCCAGAAGATGTCACTCTTGTGACATTTGTCTTACTCATTTGTCTGTCTTTATGCAGAAATCCATGCATCACTGAAAGCAAAATATTCAGCATCGTGTAAAACTAATTGGTAAGGTACATAATTAAGCAACTTAAGAATGAGATGACTGAAGCAGTATAAAAGCACTCATAAAAGCTAACTAATCTGCACATTTAAAATACCTGTCAGTATAATTACTGACAGAAAACGTGCTAAATTTTCTTTTTTGTTGATTCAGGCAGGAAACTCTACTGGAGTTTTTGCCACTGAAGACAAGAGAATTGCAAGTTAAAGCAGACTGTTTATCTGAATTCTCAGCATCTTATTACTGCAAGCTAGAAGTAAGCTTTAGAAGTTACACTTGGATTTCAAAGACATTCCCCTGGTCATTCCTATCATTTTGCTAACTGAAGTGGCACACTATATTTTCGAATGACTTCTGCTAGCAAATGTATTAGTTCAACAGTATCTGCATCATAAATGATACAGCTACGAGATCTGGGGTGCAAACAGCCAGATGATCATCAGATGGCAGCCAGGAGTCAGAGGTTTATCTGTTTTCTGCCATCTAATGATCGTTTGTGTTTCTGCATCCCAGATCTAGAATCATTGTAAATTAATCCAAACAGCCAAGCTTTACATTTAGAGCAATTACAAATAGGTTTTACTTGATGCTGGGTCTATAATAATGGCAACTCCCCGTGGCAATATGCCGAAGTGCATATATCACAGCTTGGCTATTACCATGCTTCTAACCTGTCAGGCTGCCAGGCAGTCTACTGGCTCATCTGGGATGGGATAAGACCAGAAGCAGGTGTTTGCATCTTTCTTTCTCATAGGTGTAAGGATTTGTGTTTATTTTTCTTAAATGCCTACATCCAAGAACTACTTTGATTGATGGTGATGATCTGCCATCATACTGGTGTTGACTTTTACCACCACATAGATTTCGCCAGGCTGAGCTGTTCCCAGTTTGGTCTTTCAGTCAAGTCCACTTTAGGTGATGTTATAATAAAAGGAAACATAAACTCCTGTTTCAAAAATTATTCACTGCCTAGGCTTAGAGGGTGGGAACTGTTTGGTTTTAAAGGTTGTTTGGCTGGTGGGGAGTAAAGGGGTAGCATTTACCAGGACTCTATAAGCAGCAAGCTATTTTTGTTCCCTGAAGCTCCTCTTATCTCATCCCAATTATTTATAACCTTCTGTTGTTAACACTTTTATTTTCTTGAAGAATAAAAATATAGAAAAGCAAATCTTGTAAATACCATTCAAATAAATTGAACTAAACTATATATGAAAACAATGCAAAGAGCTAAAAGAAATGGAATAAAAGAAAAACTACAGTAATAAGGAACTTATATATTTTTCTATAGTACAAGAATATTAGTTACAAGTTAAAACCACTAAGCTTTTAAACAAGCTTGATCATTTATTAGATTTTTATCCCACCTTTTATTTTTCATCAACTCAAGGTAACATATCGCTCCTGCCTTCTGTTTTCTCCACAACAACCCTGTGAGGTAGATTGGCCTGTGAGAGTCACCCAGCCAGCTTTCATGCCTAAGGGAGGACTAGAATTCAGCCTCCCAGTTTCTAGCCTAGTACCATAACCAATGCATTGCACATCCCGATCTTTCCTTTCCATTGATTTAAAGCCAATTCAAAGACTCAGGGTTGCAGTTTGCATTTATAATCATGATGAAAATGTGCATGCCCTCCCTTAAAGTGTTCCAACATGAAAATTATTTATCTTGAAATAATGTCAGTCCAGATATGCTGCACATAACAATTATCTTGGTGCTTGCCTTTTCCTTCTTTTTCAAAATGCTCAAATAAAGATCCATGGAAGGGACTAACTGGATTTGAGCAGTGGCTACTCATTTTTGCTTGGAACCGAGGCATAGTATATTTTTGGCTTTACTTTTCCAGGAAGAGTTTTTACCTCTGAAAAGATTACAGAAAAATGGCACTGATTACATACAGCTATAGTGCTTAATTACAGTTTATGGTTTGTAGTCAGTTATTTCTTTGTTTCTGGATTGACTAATATCTACAGTTCTCTGAACTGTATGTATACATTAGCAATTTCTTCAGCAAGTGACGTTCCTTTACATCACCATTCATGATTTGCACATAAATAAATGCAACCTAGAAATTGAGCAAAATGAAATTGAGTGTTTTGGTAAAATGGAGCATCTTAGCCATTCATTTTCTTCAAGCTCCTTTGTGTAGGTACACATAGCAGCAAACCACAATTTACTGTTACATGCAAAACCTCACAGCTTGTAAAAATGAAACATTTGTGGCTACAAAGATGCCCTTATAGATGCATGTCCCAGAAAGTTGGGATCAGACCCAGATGGCTTCCTTTTGTTATACATGCAATTGTAAATAGGCTTCTCCCATTGTATCAGATGTGGACTTAAAGACGCTTATGAAGAGAATTCTTAGGATTTCATTCTGAATAATCCTTTGCTACTGGGATTTCAAGTCTAAAACCAACTTGGTCCTGATTCACTGTACATGGCAGGCTTTGTCCAGCTCATTTTCTTCTGTACTTGGAGAGTTTCTCGTATCAAGATGGTCAGCAGATCGTCTGGCAATTTCTTGGGATGACAGGTTACAGATAGAAAGGGGAGACCTGGGAGTAAAATCCTGGCCTGAACTACCAACTTGATCAGTTGCAAAGTTCATCTGAAACATATACAAGAAACAAGTCATTTCAACTATGCAAAGAAGATATAAATGAATTCTAGCAGTGAACACTAGTTTTATATTTCAAACAAAAGTAGCAGAATAATTAATGCTACTGGCCTGTTGATCTTTCTGTGCTTATGTGAATCCTGTTATCTCTTATGGTTGTTAAGGGAGATAGGCTTCTTCAGTTACTAAGCAGTTTAGATGTGTATTTCCAGAGATGAACCAATGAGGTTCTTTTTTGATGTTACTATATTTTTAAACAATATAGACTATACCAGATATCCATAAACCTGGAAAATTTGGGATGGCAAAATTAACCAGAAAATGTCACATTTTGGAGGAGTCTGTATTTAGAGCACAGATCTTGCCTCCTGAGACACTGTTGATGCCATATTATTTTGATACTATATGCACAAATATGTCCAAATGCTGGGTTCTATACATGGTTCCAGAGAGAAGTTTAGGATTCCATCCTCGTGAGAAATCGGGATACAGGCTCAGAGACAATCCATCTCTGTAATAGTCCCAATGGTGTGGAATGCATTGCTCCATTGTCCATTTGGCATCTTCCTTTTTTTTTTCCCCTCCCAAAGATTGTCAAAATGTTTCTGATTGAGTGGACTTTGGGGAAACAGATTGATTAGACTGAGTGTTGATTTTTGAGTTTAAATTTTGGTTTTATGATGAAGCTGGGCTCTTGTTTTTATCTTTTTGTACTGCTAAATTTATGGTTTGTTGGGCATCATGTTTTTACATGTATTTTTGTTTGCTGTATTTGTTTACAGTATTGGGATTTTATTGAACTTATTTTTAGACATTGTAAACATATTGGAGTCTTGGGAAATGGGTGATATAGAAATATATACCAGTATGAAGCCAGTAAATTAATCAATCCCACTCAGGAACCATGCATCCAGAAACCTTTTGCACATGGAGTTTCAAAGCTAGCAAGCAATGTGTGGTGGAAAACTGCTTTCACACATACAGTACGCTGCCTAACATTACTAGCATTTTTACATTTTTTTAGAACAGTTCTACTTTTCCAGTCTCATTTTCATGTCGGATTTATAGTTTTCCTACTTAGACTTGAAGTTTTTCCAAGCCAGCAAGTTTAGAATCTAATCCAAACCAATCTAGTGTATTCCAGACCCGCTGGCTTTTGAAGTTCAATATATCTGTTAGGGATCATATTGGAAGTCCAATATATCTAGTAGGCATCAAACTGGTAAGCAGCTGTGTAGCAGACACCTACTTCAGACACTTAGTTTAGTAGTATTATTTATCCTTTAATTTGATAAATGAATTATAATTTTTCTGGTCATTGTGCATCCAGGAAGCAAAAAGAAGCAATAGAACGTCCCATGTATACCTTAAAGATGTGCCATCTTAGGCTTAGGTAGGAAGGATATGGTTTTTAAGGTTTCATCATGGAGTGGGGTTAGGGAAATACCATGGAAGATCTCTGCTGCCTTTATTCACTTTTTTGTCTTCATCCTAAATATGTTTACAACTTGTGGATAAGACACATTCAGGGACACTTGGAAATATTAACTCACAATATTGATTTTTTTCTTATTTGACCCATTCAAACTCATGTTTAATAATGCTGGTTACCTTTTGTAGTCTGCTGCCCTCTGCTGTTGTTTTAAGGTTCTCAAAGAAACAACTCTTCTCTGTTATGTGTGAGTTATCAATAAATGTTGGCAATTTCAAGCTAGGACTGAAAAGGCAGGAATCCATTCTTGGCTCTAAGGATGTTGGGTGAGAAATGCAAGGACAGCTGTATTCTGGAAGGATATCAGAAACACTTGAGAAAATTCTTCATTCATTTACACTTAATAGGCTTTTTAAGAAAGGAAAACAGAAAACTAGTGTTAGCAGATCATCATGCCAATTCTGAAAGAGACGGCAACATCTAGAGACCATGCACGACTATACAGAGAATTTCTATCTCTTTGAGTAAAATCCTTATAATTTGGTGTTTGAAAAGCAACCTCCCATATGAATACAAAATACTTGAAAAAATTATTTCCTTTGGTCTTCACCAAGCTTCCTGGCCTGAACTCCCAGATTCATCAACTATCATTGATCTAGACAAAATACCTGGATACCACTAGAATACAGAAGGATGCCCTAATATATCAAGGCTGCAGGTCTCTCCATACTTACCTGAGTAAACTCCAGTGAGCCTAGTAGGTCTCAACATTTCTACCATTTGTGCATTTTGATATGTATTTAATCTACATTTCCCTGCCTTGCTGGGGAAAGGAGGAAATTTTATGATGCAAATACACTAGGAAGTTGTATTAAGTGATGTAAGATCCAGTTATATTCCTCAGTTCTCCTCTTGTCTCTGACTGTAAGTAAATAAGCAAATAAAGAAATAACCCACCCTTGGTTTGCTAATTTACTTCTCTCATATGCACATCAGTCCAACCACTCTACGATCATCATTCTAAAGCAGAAGAAGAAACGATCTGGCCCAATGCTCAGAGAAACAGCCAGGTTTTTAGGGGCTTGTGGAAGGACAGAATGGTCAGGGCCATCTAAACCATGGAGGGAATGTTCCACTCAGCGGGTGCTGCAACAGAAACAGCAGACCCCTTGTGTCCTACTAGATGGCATTTTTATGGAATAAGCCCAAAGTATTTCCACTCTCCTGGGTCTCACAGTCTGAGCAGAGACAACTGGCCTTATAAGTAACCTGGCCCTTTGTAGAGAGTAAGAAAGATGACCTCACTGGAGATATGCAAGATCTGTCACCAAAGTGACAAGGGATGAAACTTATTCTAACTCCACAACAGACAGAAAATATGCAGAAGAAGCTCAGACACCTCCCTAATTCACAGGGGTATATGAAGGGAGAGGAGATACAGTATACACAGACTTGCATGATTCTGTTATTACAATAAAAGTAGTTTTAGCCTTTCTGTGGAGTTGGTTTCCTGGTCTGGTCTACCTGGTGGGGCTGACAGCCTGTATCATGAAGGTCTTTATAGTGATAACCAGCACCTTCAATTGCTTGATGAAGTACTTCCTTTCACCTGTGCTGCATCCTCCACCACTTACACTAATATTTAAGAGGGAGAAAACATTGTGACATTCCAAACGAGAAATAATTATAACAAGACAACTGCTAAGAAAAGCTAAGATTGTAAAAGTGAATCTCACCGTTGCTTCTGTTTTCTTCACACTTTTCTCCCTTTTTGATGATCTTAGGCGCATCTGTAGTAGGCCGCCTACTATTCATTTCCATTGGGCTTTGAGAACTTTGGAGGGAGGAACTGGTGTCATTTAATAACTGCTTGAGACAAGTGTTCAAAAGAGAGACTTGTGTCCTTAGCATCTCATTTTCTTCTTCTAGTTTGTCGTGATTAATTATCAGTGTACAATACTTTTCCAAGTTATGATTCGCCTCTTTAGTTTTCTCCTCAACTGATTCCTTCAATTCTTTCAGCTCCAACCTGATTTCTTCTGCACCAACATCCACCTGAAAACCTATACAAAGCAAGAGGACTCATTACTAGAAATTACTAAATTTACTAAAAACCACCGCCGTATATGTGTTTTCAGGAATAGATGTCCAAATAGGAATTAAATACATTTGAAATGCCCTGTTGTGGACAGCAAAAATGTATATACGCCCTTCCCTTTTCACTTCCAAAGAAGTGTGAGAAGGCCTGCCTTTTTGTTGTCATCATGGAGATAAGAAAAGAAGTAGTTTAGCAGAGACAGGAATAAAAGGTACTTTGGACAGATATTTATAGGCAAAAACTGTGCTCACTCAATATAATCCATCTAAAATCCCAGCACAACAAATATTTTTTTCTTTGCATTCTATTGACACCTGCAGCTACTGATGGAAAAAGCCTATTGTTTTCTTTCAAAACATGCTACATACGTGGAGCTGTCGTCTTCAACTGAGTCTCAAGTTCATGAATTTGTTTCTCCATTACTGCTTTTTCCTGCTTTAGCATTCGATAGGCATTCAGCCACAATAGAAATGAATGACAGAAAGAATCGTACTCTTCCTTGAGCTGCAGCATTTGATTTAGGCTGTTTGCCTGCATAATTAAAACAACAGCATATATGTAATTATTGCAATAGAAACTTCATATAATTAAAATGAACTGCATTGGATATTTATTTATTCAGTTCTGGATTCAGATCTGTTCTAGTGCGTCTTCTTCTGATTAAGCCTTAGTGGGCTTTGAACCTAAATTATCTCAAGCATTACCTCTTTCCACCCCAGGAAGCTGATTTGTGGGATTTTACTGCAAGCCCCTCCATTCTGTTTGCAATTTCATCTCAGATGCAGGGCTTTCTCTGTCATGGCACCACACCTTTGGAATGCCCTCCAGAAAGTAAGCCAGACGCTCTCTTTGCTTCCTTTTTTATACTGAGCCAAGATGTTTTTATTTATAAAATATATATTATATTTTATAATAGTCATTTTGTGATTTTTATCTGCTATAAGGTAAGTATCATCATCATCATCATCTAGATTTATAAGGCTACCAAATCAAGAGACTCAAGGTGGTATACAAAACCAAAAACATCATAAGAACACAAACTATAGAAATACCAATGCATTGAAGAAATACTCAGACAAGAAAATTACAACCAAATCATCAGTCAATAATCCACTGTGGGAATTATTTGACAACATCCTAAAATCTGATGTGATAAAGGGCCGTGTAGAAACATTTTAGTGAATAAATGCATGGAAGGACTACCCAGTTCAATCCAACTGTAAATACATAAAAAGACTATGAAACTGCTAGGTAACTACAGGTAAGGGATCAACTATGGGAGTGCTAGTTATTTTCAGATAACAGAATTTCTCAGTTCCCTTAACCTCTATAATATTATACTACTGGACTAAGCATAACATCTTACGGAGCCTGTTGCTACTGAATTTCATAGACAACGGCGTTGCGTGAGGCAGACTGCATCTGTCTAAACTACAATCTCCGAGATGAAACATTCTGGTTTGCATTCCATCCTGCTCACCTTCTCTCTACTAAACACACTTCTACTAAGACCATATAACTACAAGATATCTTCCAGATGGCTTGGACTCTATGTTTTCAGAATTTCAAGCCAGCATGGCTCATGCTACTTGGGAATGCTAGAAGTTGTCATCCAACTCATGCTGAGGGCATCAGGATGGGAAACATTGCTGTATAACAAGTGGGCCATAAACAGACAAGGGCTATAATTTTTGGCATAGTTACCTAGAATCGAGCCCCAGTGAACACAGCAAGAGCTGTGTTTCTAAACTGGGTTTAGTAACTGTTACTAAATTTCCCTCAGTACAGAGACTGAATTTTATACAGATGTTTTTACCCTCCAGGATATTCTACCCATGTTGTATACAATTTGTACAATACCTTTCCAAGGAAGATGTATTTTTCACATGGTGTGACTTCTAATTTTTCTTCGATACGTTCAAAAGACACCTGTAAGTCATCTTGGATAGCTTGCAAAGCTTCATTTTTGAATAACGGCTCAAGAACAGAATCATTTGCATTCAGTTTTTGCTTGAAGCTTTGTAATTCCTGGATGAAAGCTTCCACCAACTGCTGTACTTTAGAGTTACTGGATTTTGCTTCTTCCAGGCAACCCATCAACTGCATATTGTCATGTTTGAGAGAAGCAATTTCACAAATGAGATCCTGTTCTTTTGACTTGAAAGTTTCTTTCTCACTATAAAGGATTTTAATTTCTTCATAGACCTTTTTTAGTTGTGATTCCATCAATCTCAGTGCATTTTCACATTCGCCTCTAATGTGCTCCTTCTCTTTTTCATTTTCTTTTAGTAGGTTTACCAATGTAGAATTACTCATTTCTAAACTAATTACTTTGTCTTGTTTTTCTTTCAGCTCTTTTTCTAGAGTCTCTTTCTCTGACCTAAAGATTTTAGCTTCACCTTCTAAATGTTGTTGGCTCACACACATCCTTTCTATCTCAGTCTTCATTATTTCTGTCTCTGCTTTAGCTGTCTCCATTCTAAGAACTGCATCTTCAAAACTCTCCTCTGACATATGCAATTCTCTTTCCAGATACTCAATTTTGTCTGTGAGAGTGTCAGCTTTTCGTTTGTTTTCTTTCAGCTTTTCAGCCAGATGATGCCTGTTCCTTTCATCGGATTCTATCTTTACTTTCAGCTTCTCAATGCCCTCTCGCAACTGATCTGCTTCTTCTTGTGCAGAATTTAGCCGTGCTGCAAGTTCACCTTTTTCTACTAGTGATCCTTCCAAGGACTTGGATATCTTGGCATTTTCGGCTTCAGAGTTACTTAGCCTGCTGTGTAAGATTTCATATTCTCTAAGGCTCACTTCTCTTGTCTCAGTCAGATGCTTGATTTGATTTTCTGCTGCCTCTTGGTCCAACATGAGATCCCTCATAACTCTGTCCAGATTCTGGAACCGCACCATATAGCACACATTTTCAACTGATAACTGATTCTCTGCAGCCTTAGCAGCCTGAAGCAATTTTACCTGGGTTTTATCTTCAGCTTCTAATGCCTTGATATATTCAACAGTATCCACTTGATTTGAGTCAAGCTCTTTTATATTCTTCTTTATCTTGTTGCACACCTGATCCAGTGCATCTTTATCCCTTGACAAAGTGATCAGATCTTGGCTAGATTGGTTTCTCCCTGCAGTAAGTATCTGAAGGTGCTCACAAAGGCCAAAAATAATTTTCAAGTTGATTTGCTTTTCTTGCTCCAGCTGCTTGTTTTTTGATAGAAGCTCTTCAGCATCTGCCTCCATGGACAAGGTGTAGTTCTCAAAGTTTGTTTTCTCAGATTTTATCCTCCTCTGTTCAGTTTCAGCTTCAAGAAGCTTCTCAGTATTGTCTGCTTTGGTCATTTGTAATTCTTCTAGAGTGTGTGTTGAATCAGACCATCTGATCTTGTACATTTCCAGTTCAGATTTTACCTTATTAAGTTCTATCCCAAGATACATAGGGTTAAAAGATAATTGCTGTTTATCAAAAGTTACAGATTGAAGCACCTCACTCATTTCTTCCTTTTCTTGTTTGAGAACCATAACTGTTTTGTTATATTCAGCAAAAGCAATTTCCTTTTCAGACAACTCTGTGTTCTTTGAATTCAAATCTGAGTGCAGATATTGAACTTTCATAAGCAGAGTATTAATTATTTTATTGCTTTCCTCCACATCATGAAAAAGCCTAGAATTGTTATCATCGGCCTTCTTTATTGGTAGCCAAAGCATTTCAATGGCCTTCTGGTTTTCCATGGAGTTTACCAACCTTGTGTGTGTGCCGAGATTTGAAGGAAGAAATGACTCTAGAGGACAGTCTGAAGAATGTATCGATTGATCATTTGCATTACTGGGATCTGGAAGGTATTTTTCTGTAGATGTTATATTTGTATCTGCTTCATAATCAGACCTTTGTGTTCTGTATGCTTCATAGGTTTTTGCTGCTGTCTGATCATTCACAGCTTTAAGTCCAAGGCTTTCCCCAAGAAAGCTATCCATTTTCAAATAGCATAAAGGATCAGGTGGCTGATTAGCAGGAACTGGCTAAAGATGAATAAAAAAAGTTATTTTCATCAAATGAAAGCTAGTTGATAAATAACTGAAACTATTAAACTTTGCAGTAGGGACAGTACTTCTGCCAGAAATGTGGTGGCATATGCCTATCTTGGGAATGTCCTCCCCGTATCTTCATCATCATCTGCCCTTCAGTCACTCATGCCCTAGTCCTGACTACTATAACACGTTCTCCATGGGGCTGTCCTTGAAGACCACCCGGAAGCTTCAACTGGCCCAGAATGCAGAGGCACAAGCAGTGATGGGCACATCTCAGTATGTCTGTGTGACTCCCTTGCTTTGTGAGCTGCACTGGTTACCAGTTCACTTCCGGGTACAATCCTGGTTATGACCCATAAAGCCCCACATGGTATAGGGCCTGGTTACTTAAGGGATTGCCTGTCTTCCATACTATTGCCCAGCTGATTCAATCTGGCAGGGTTGGTGCACTCCTCGTTCCTTCAATTAAACAATGCTGTTTTTCAGGAGCCCAGGAGCATGACTTTTCTGTAGCAGTGCCTGCCCTCTAGAATGAGCCCCCCCCCCCAGATTTAAATGACCTCCACCGATGTCAGGTTCAGCCCAAAGAACTCCACGAGACAGTACAGGTCTAGTTCGATAGCTTTTATTAGCTTTCACCCACAAGACAGAATCTTGCCAGACTGAATCTAAACTTCCAAG